TTTTTTCTTCATCCATTATTCCACAATGGTGTAAGCCAAGTTTGCAAAATTATATACACTCCAGCGCTGTCCTCCAGACAGTCTCGTCCCCTTCACCTGATGAAGGCCGCTTGTGTTGTGGCCGAAACGTCGTGAGAATATTATTGTGTTATTTTATCAATTAATTATTTTATTGTCATTCTACGTGACTTTACCAAAAGAACCAAAGAATATGAATCCTTGCAGTCACGAAAGCTTTAAATCGAAAAAAAAAAGTAATTGATAATAAGTGGATAAAAGTTTCAGCAATATTTTTTAAATTAATATTTGGTATATTTTATTAGTTTTAGATTACTGCATATTGTAATATTAAGGACAGCTAGAAATCAAATGGGGAAGGAAAGTGATTAGAAAAGAAATGAAGAGTTACGTGAAATCATGGCAATATGAAAAGTTATTAGAAAAGCAGTAACTCTTATTACCATCAGCTGTACGAATCCAGACAGCTTTATTGGAACCATGCGTTTTATATTCAGAATATCGCAGACCTGACAAGCATATATGCACCATTAATTGCTCGTATTGTGACCGATAGATAGCTGACGTAATCATAATTTCTCAATACATGTCTTCATCATTTAGTCATATGATGTTTTTTTTTCTAATTGTGTGTGTGTGTTTGTACATATATACACACACACAATTAGAAAAAAAAAACCACTGGGCAACTACAATAAATTAAGAATTCCAGTTCAAGCAACCTATTGTTAGACTTATTTTCTTCAACCCTTCATGTAATGTTTAATTGAATAAACAGTTGGATGTTTTGGGTCAATAAAAAAATACAGGTCATCTTCATGCATACATTTTTGTTCTCAAAATGTCTTCAATAAATGCACATGGTATATTAGGCACATGCACTTTATGTTCTTAATATTGATATATCGTCATGATTCAGAGTTACGAATCAGTCGAAGAATATCGTTTTCGTCTCTTTTGACCAACTCGATTAAATTGTTTCATCTGCCTCACTTGCACCATTGTCTTTGCTGTGCGAAATAAGTTCAACATACATACGGGGCATATAATTTACATAAATTGTAAATAATCCATTTTCATAAGCATGATTAGACTTGTGTATCGTGTTCATAACGATTTAAATATTTGTACCAATGCATTGCTACATACCAAATTTATATAATCAACGTAGCATTATACTTGGAAATAAAAAAACTTTTTTTACTCTTCAACTCGTGAAACAAAAAATTTGAAAAAATAACCATGATTTACGCTTACGGCATTCCCTGCGAACATTAATTGACATAGCGGGAAGTATCATTGTTAAAGCGTTGAATGAGAGCGCTATGTCAGTCTGCCCATTGGAACAGCCGTCTGTTACTAAATCCCACCATCGCCTGGGAGGCGGATCAAAGGAGCGGCATGGGGCTGCGCTGGTTTCGGCGCGTCTGATTTGCCCATTAAAGGCGGTTTGGGGTCAGCGGCCTGGCCCGTGGGTCACTAGTGTTTGTGCAACTTTTATTCTCCAGCAACACTGCCGCATGACACGTCTATTCATCACGTCACCCCCATCCTGGTGTGCTCCTTGTGGAGTTTCGAGCTTGTGCTAGCTCCAGAGCTGTTTCATCACTTTTCATTATATTTGTCTTGAAGTATATATGCTCATGTGCTGGGATTCTGCTCAGAGTTTTAAATCATAATGGGGCACAATGTGTTTCTCTCCTGCTGGTGTAGAGGTGCAAACACATACGCATTCGCTGCTGTTCAGTGTAACTGCAGCACTGTGTGGGAATCTTTTTTTCCATATCTCTTGATTAAATAATAAACTGATTATTCCAGTCCTATATCATTCATTCAAAATGCACTTTCCTTTGGAGTTTACATTTGTCTTTAATACTGAGATATTCTCGTCAATCACAGACGTTCCATGTACTGTTCGGTCGTGTTTATGGATTGTAAATATGTTTTATGTAACAAATGTTCGTAAGAATGGGGTTATAATTTTCCAAAAGTAAAGCAAGAGTCAATGTTTGCACAAAGGAGGACATGAAATAGCCCTGTAGGGTTTTTTTTGGGGTGTAGGAGTGTCCTGGAACATTTAAAAGAGATAAAGCACCTGAACTTGGCACGCTATCGGGAGCAGACTTAATGGACGGCAAGGAGAAGAAGTCGTAAATCAGCACGGTTTGACAAGGCCAAGGCCTAGCTTGCAAGACTGATTCCAATTTCCAAGTCCTCTCTGCACACCCACCCCCTTTCAGCTCCTCTCATCTCCTGCCACATGCTTCCCGGTTTCTGCACTGTAAGCCCACAGGAGCTCAGTGGGGATTGTATGAGTCACTCATTGCACTCCCCGCACGCTTCCACCGCCAGCCGTGGCTTTACGAGGGCTTCAGGATGATGCCTGCCAGCCTGGCCGCACTTCCCAGCATGTTTTATTTTTTTTCCCTCCCTGCTTCTCCCCTTGTGTATTTTCTTGGCCACCGTTGAAGTAGCCAAGGAGCCAAGAAGCACATGCCATGGGTTTAACCTGGCCTCACATACATTCCATAAACGTCTTCGCTTTTTGCTTCTTTGGTTCTTTCGGTAAAGTCACGTAGAATGAGAATAAAATAATAAATTGATAAAATAAAATAACACAATAATATTCTCACGACGTTTCGGCCACAACACAAGCGGCCTTCATCAGGTGAAGGGACGAGACTGTCTGGAGGACAGCGCTGCAGCTTAGTTTTCATCTCTGAAAATGCTAAGTTTAGAATAGCGCCGGACAGAGGTGGTAAGAAATAGTGATGATTGGAAAACATTGCGGGGAGGCCTTTGTCTAGCAGTGGGTTTGTAATGTCTAATGAAGAAACTACAGTGTGGTTTTAGGACCAGCCTTTGTCCCATACACACACTTCTCTGCACAAAACCATGAATGTTGGTATACCAACGATTCGCCATTTAAGATGATTAATCGACTACGAAATTGTTTTTGACTACTTTCTTTGTGGTTGACTACCCGGGCCCCTTTAATCGAGGCGGCCGCACCAACATTCTGTCTGCCGAAGGTGGGAGACCCCTTACAAGCCATGCCCACAGCATGATGCCTTGTATTGAGGATTCGTTTCTGTTCAACATTTTTTCACGTAGTTTTTTTCCCAATATAAAATATATATTTCTTTTGTCGACACGTGTTTTTATGTTGTAGGCACACATTATGCCTCTAAAAGATGGGGAGGGGCCCTCTTTGTGTAGTGTCATGGGAACTTTGTGCCTGGAACATGTACCTTACAGCTCATACTGATAATAATACAAAATCTCAACTGGGAATAACAAAGAGTTATATATATTGAAGGTAATTGGCTTCGGCGGCACCTTTGGCACGGTCTGTCCACTGCAGCCATGTACATTGGAAGGCTAGTGTCCTGGAAGGTTACCACTCGAGATTATGCTCTCACTACATTTGCTTATCAAGTTAAAAGGTAGAATTATTAATAAACATCGTGTGATACATCATAGTCATAGTATGATGATGATGAAAACAAACATTTTAGTAAGTAAATTTTAACCATGCAACAATAGACATCTGCAGCGAGCAATCACAAGCATCCAACTAGTCTTTCCGTTACATAATTTTTCCCGCTCTCCAGATTTGGTTATGCCCTAAAAAAAACAGTTTTCTCGCTCAGTTGCTTAGCGCGGCTGGCTACATGCGGTGTGAAAGAAATTACGTTTTTTCTTTCTTCAAAATTTGGTTTTACAGTAGGACGATGATCGCCGTGCAAGTTAATCAAGACACTGGAGGTAGTTTTGGTTGCGACAGCGTGCCGTACGTTTGCTTAACGTTTGCGACGCCCCTGTGGCCGGCGCTCTATAGACGGCGGGGGGGGGGGGGGGGGGGGAACCTGCTGGCCGAGCCTTCTTGCGGCGGTGCCATGCTCCCTACTCGAGGAGTCGCGTTGGGAATTTTGCCAGCAAGGAGCTGCCGCGAGGACAGATCCTGACACTCAGACAGCCATTAGACCGGAACTCGGAGGGCTGAAATGTGAAACCCTGCCACGGGAACCCCCAAACATTCACACCATCCCAGTTTTATTAATGCTGGCTTTAACCTCTGTGACCTACCGGCTTGTGTGTGTGGGGTTTTTTTTGCCACCGTTACGTTGGTTGACAGCCAGCAATCATCGCAGCATATTTATAATTTGTAAGTGTCTTTTACTGTGTGATGAAATAAATGTCTGTGATTTAGTTCACAAAATTAATGCAACTAAGTATAGCTTATAAGTGTTGAAGTTATCAGGGATTTGTATTTGAGGGACTCAGTATTCTTATTTTAATCGTGCTGTCATATTATTTAAATGTTACCTTTGAAATCTAGTGTGATGTATTATTTGGTGATGCTTATAAATTGCGACAGCCATTTTTATAAATATGGTAAAAGGTTTGAGCATCGGTAATTGCAATTATTTGGAAATTTTGGGAATTGACTAATTACACAACTGGAAGCCTAGATTTCTACCACAGCCTAATCTGTAATTAGTATGATTATAATTACAGTTTTGTTACAGGATTGGCTGTAATTGTTTACTAATCAACCCGACATAAGTTCCACAACTATATACAACCTTTGCTTTTGTATGTAAGCTGAACACAACTTTTTCTAATAATAAATTTTAATCTATATTGATTTGAAGTTTTCGTGACTGCAGGGATCCATACTCAATAATAATCAAGTTAGTTTTTCACTTTTAAAAGGACACTTCCTGTTAGATTTCATAAACTCTTCACACTTTCATATTTTAATTCATGTATGATTGTCACCATCTTCCCGTTGGACATTATTGTCGTTTTAACGTAATTTCTGTAAGTGATACACACATTGTAATAGCGCCTAAGCCCATAGTCCATTTGCCATTACCGCTCGTCTGCCACATGCGCACATCAGATTTTTTGGCACTTTAAGGCAGCCCCTTGCGCTAAAAGCATTAACGTTTAAGCTGCTGCCACTCTCCCCGCAGGACTGTGTCCCTGACCTGGTCACGGCCGATGACAGCGGGGTGCTGTGTGTATGGAAATCGGGAGAGGAGTTTACCTTGCTGCACAAGCTGCCTGCATATGGGTGAGTGATTGCCACAAGACACGGCGTGGCTTTATGGGCAAAACCCAAGTTGTTCCGTTGCGTGTTAAAGGATAAAACTCCATGTCCTCGGCGGTTCCTTAGCTTAAATTGGTCTGACTGCGCAGACTAATATATAGCGGTTGTAAATCAGGGACCTGGCACATTCCAAAAAGGGAGAAGTCCACGCTTTCCTTTGCCAGCTTTCTACTTGAGCCAAAATCACACGGGGGAACTGCGCTCTGCAACGTTCAATAAATCAGGACGACAAATTAATCATGTTTTTACACTTTTACACATCATGTGGGGATTTCGGGAAAAAGGTGTTTTTTTATTAAATGTTTGAACAAAAAAATATCTCTCAAGCCTTTCTGAGAGCCCGTTTGGGTGACGTGAAATGGCTGCGATGACTGTGTATTTAGTGGCTTGGCAAAGATAGTCCCTCTTTTAAATTCACGCAAACTATTGATTTCCCTTATTTTGCATTGTGATGTCAGATATTTTAAAGCACTAATTGCTGATTTTGGCAAGCATCGACTAAGTCGCTAACTTTAATGCGCAAAATTCAAGTAAAAGAAGCTCGCTTGTGGTGACAACTTTGTATATTTCGATCAGTGGATAGTAATATGCTTGACCATCGACACGCTACGGTCTTTGCACTAGCAGTAAAAGTAATTCCATGTTTGTTGTGCAATAGCCCTTTGCAGCAAAAATAAGTTGGACCCACATTTAGTTCACACGCATGATTGTCGTTGGCTGAAACAAGTAAACAATCTCGGATTATTATAGGGTTAAAGTGTAGGGAATTAAGTGTGCCAAAACATTGTACTAATATTTGTACACATGATAGAAACTTATGTACGTGTATAAAGGTCCACCATTTAGTCGGGTGTAAGGCCCGCTGGTACTGCACAAAAGGAGTGGGATGGTCAGCATCACACCTGGCCACCTTTATCTTCTCCGTACTGACATTCACAAACCCGCACCAGGTACTTCATCATGAGCTCAGTTTATGCATGGTAAGCATATGCTAGCTTCACATATCCATTGTTACTCGCGTGCACGACTAGGGCTTGAACCCAGGTCGGCCAAGAATATAGTGCAGTGTGATAACACAACTTCCAACTCTTTGTAGAGATAATTGCACACACATCAGAACTCGTAGTTTGCCAATCTCAGTTGAAACTAAGAGCCAGTATTTTAACAAACGTTTCTTTGTGAGCTCATACTGTCATTTTGCATTCAGTGCGTACTGTTAAAGCCAGAAGCAAATCGAGATATAATTAAGGACAAAATGAATTCTTGCTCTCTTGCATGTATGAAGCTGACTGGGCAAAAAAGGAATACCAATGTAATCTTGAACTTTTTTTAAAGGTCACCCAGAGTCACTGTTTCTGCACTGTGGGTTGAGTTTGATTTTTTTTTCTAATGAAATATGCATTATTAAACAGCCATGAAAGATGGTAAAATAGCTTCTTGTGGTCATACTTTTCCCAATCACCTGTGTGCAAGCTGCATGGCTTCATCTCAGTACTGCTAACGCCACAGCAGCCAGAGCTACTGTCTGATATGGTCATTTACACAAATATTTCCTTTATGGCTCTCAATCTTAATGTTCCTTTGGCACATGCACAAAACACATACGTTATTCTAAAACACATAAGTTATCCTCAGGTTGTCCAGACAACTGAAATATTATGGCATAGTTTTGTGTGCAATCAATCTTTTAAAAAATGCATACGCACATAAACAAAATGTCTTCATTCGAATAAATGTGTATGTTGCGCTTATTTTATGTATGTTCACGGTATTCCTCTGTGTTTGCTAAAGTATTGCCTAAAAGCCATCTCAATGTGTGTCTTTGTCACTTTATATTAAATGAGAATAGTAATCAGTGATGTACGTGAATAGCAGTTTCTCAATGTAACTTAGCAGTATTCATAACCCACTATTTTGTGTTACAAGTTATCAAATCGCATGTTGAACTTCCCATTGAAATTGTTAGGTGGCAGCCATTGAAATATTGTCAATGTTAAATGGTGGCCTGACTTGTTCTGAACCTCCAGTGTCACCTTGGTACATGTATGAAAATAGGTCCTGGTTGGCTTTTTGATGAAGCCCATTGGGGCTTGGAAATAAAAATAATTAATTTCCAACCAGGAAACACTTGGAGATTCAGGGACCCACTTACACAATCAATTCACAAACCAGGGCTCTAAAGGAAAACACGTGAATATGAGAGAAGTGTGCAGGATGAGGAGGAGGCTCGCGTTTGCTGCCATGCCGTGTTGGTTGCAGGTGCGCGTGCACCTCGGTGGCACTGTGGGACGGCATCGTGGCCGCGGGCTATGGCTCGGGCCAGATCCGTGTGTACGACGGCGCCACGGGGGCCCTGGCGGCCGAGGCCAACGCCCACGCGCGCTGGATCAACGTGCTCGATGTAGCCCCGGAGAGCGGGCGTGTGAGTGAGCCCTGCAGCAGCAGCGGCAGCAGCTGTCACCGCCGTCCGTAGTTTCATTGCACTTTGTGTTTTGTTTTAAATATTTGGTTGACTCGAGGTGGCCGGTTGGTTAAGAGCTAAGATTACTGAGCTGGAGCTGCGAAGATTGTGGGTTTCAACCCAGGTTGCTTGCTTAGGATTTAACCAGTTTCTAAAGTGTAATAAGTGGATGGTGTCAGCCCAATCACCAATGTGACAGTACAAAAAAAAACCCAACACATTCAATTTGTTTCTGCACTTCATTTTTATACATTTCAGCTCCGACAATTAAAATGTTGGTTTGACTGTCCTGTGAAGAACATCACTTTAACATGGGATGGTGGGTATGAAAGTCCTGCCCCATACTGTGGTGATCAGAGATCACTTGAACAGATCTCGGACGTAATTTTATTGTATCCGTTTCCGTGTGTGGATATCACAGCAGTGTTGCACTGCTCTACAATAGGTCCGAATATTTATTTTGTCGTATGAAGTGACACTGATAACACAATTGGGATACAATTGGGAAACATTTAAAATGCATATTGTTAGACATAGTTGCCTAGTGGTCACTATGATCAGCTCCGAATTCAGAGGTCACTTATGTCAGGCTTACTGAAAAGGCTTGCGCTCTATGCTGTGCTTATTGTGTGTGTGTGCTGTGACTGTTTCAGCTTCTCTCAGGTGCTGAAGACTCCTTTGTGAGAGTGTGGAAATTGGGGCGGGCAGCCGACACGGGTCTTATTGAGGTAACGCGAACCAATTGTGTTACTCTACCTTTGGGTAATACAACCAGAATCAAATAGGCTATCATTGCTGTCAAATTGTAGATCTAGAACTGAATTTATATCCCATGCCCACGTGGTCAAATATTCCCAAGCTTATACTACATATATATGAAATCGTTAATACAAAGGATTTTTTCGTCCTCTTTCATCTTTGCGTTAGAACATGCACTTTGTACTACAGACGTGCTGTGAAATATAAAGCTGCGTGTTGATTTTACATGAAAGGTGATGGAAGCATTTTTATGCTTACACATTTTTTTTGTTGTAATTAAAGAATGTCAACCATTTGCACGAAACCAGAATGAGCGTTTCACACCATTGAAATAAAGTGTGAGCCCGTATTTATCACGAGCCCTACATTTATCGCTCGGCACATCTGTTGTTCGGCTCAAGTTATGTCAATGAATTCCCAATCATTTCCGACGAGCGGATGAGAGACACTGGTGCAGATAAAAGTGGTTCAAATATGTATACCGGCTTGTTGTTCTTTGGAACTGTCAAAGCATGCGACACCTGCATGTTTTATCAAAACAATCTTGTCAGGGTAGGGTGGGGGGGGTCTAGCTGATATGTCCCTTTTATCCAAGGGGATTACATGCAGGTGTTGTTGTATCTCCCGGCGATCCGAACCTTCCTGTGGCTCGGTAAAAGACGATCCGCGCAATTTAAACTTGGCGTATCGGTGGCTTATCGGCCAATTAGTTTGTCTCAAAGACAAGTGGCGTCAGTGCGTGAGGCTGCTGTGCGAAATGGAAATATTGTATGTCCCACGGGAGAGGCACGAGTGAAGGTGACGAAACGTTCCAGTGAGGGACACGAGACCAAATGGGAGCTGTGGAATGAACCGTGTGCTTTTCTGAAATAAATATTTGCAACGAACACTTATCTAACTAAACGGAACGTCAAGCTTACTCTCCGCAGCTACTCGTATGCCTAGCACTGAACAAACTGGAGGGGTTTCCAAAAAGGTTTTTGCTCTTTACTTCTGTGACTGTGTAATTTGTTTACATGGACTTTATGTTTCAGTATTGTCTATTGTCAATGATATACAGGTACATTTGTTCATGTTAGCGTTCATAAGAATAGTTTATTTCCGCCCAAAGATGTTTTATATCTTGTAATGGTTGCATTGTTTTAAATGGCAAAACAATGAGTTGTGGTAAATGCCACGCACTGTGTGAACTCAGTTTAAGAATATTTTACTCATGTTCCACCACAGTCCAGTTTCTACGCATTTACCAAAATTATTAGATTAGATGTAATAATTGTTTGATTTATCCTGGGGAAAAAATCACCCGAGTCTCAACGCTTTAAAGATGATGGTGATTTAATTTGTAGGTGAAGTGCACATCAAGCGCCTCAACAAGGAAATCTGGACTGTAATGGCGCTGGAGGAATTGTTGTTGGAGAGACGTGGGCCAAGGAGGTGACGGTGTTACATCACACCGGTGGCTTTTTTTTCCCCCTTTTTTGTTGCAGATTGAGCACAGGCACAGCGAGTGTGTGACTGATGTCCAGATAAGCGGTGCCAAGTTCTGCGATGCGCAGGGACGGACCTTCGCCGTCACGGGCTACGACCTGTGCGAGATCATACGCTACGTGCTGGCGGCTTGACCAAGGCCTGCTCGGCGCCGCCGGCTCAACGGGTCCCTGCTGGTTTAGTCCGCCATCCTTTCACTGTTGAGTGAAGCCGTTGCCTCCCATCGAGATGTGGCCACGGCCACCCAGTTTTGATTTTGTTGTTGTTACATTAATAGAACCAGTTACTAATTGGGGACTGTTTGGTGGGCAGGAAATGGCAGTGCAGCAAAATATGTTGTTGTACTGTAACTTCTATGCTCCCACGTCTATGCTTCCCACCTTTACCAACACACACTGACCAGCGTGCTGTAGTGTGGTCAAATACAAAGATCCCCCGTATAGCCTTACATTTTTGGGGCAAGTGCTGTTCGGCACGGCACGCGAGGGGGTGTGTGGCCAACACCATGCCAAGCCGCCTTCGTCTCCCGAGTGGCGATGTTTACATACTGCACCAGGTACTCATTTGAGGCTGAGTCGACCAAGGGGAGGCCCAGGGGACTGGTTCAGACAATCGTCACTGGTGTTGGCCGTCAGCTGGAATCGAACCCAGGTCGCCGGATTCGTAGCACAGTGTGCTAACGCTCCCCAGTGTGATCAATAACCACCATGACCAGCATGGCATGGGGAGGCCCTCATCCAACAGTGGAATGGCAAAAGGTCCTGTCCATGTACAAAGCTAGTTTACGGATGTATTAGTGATAAGAGGAAATAATATTGTACATTATGACTCAGGTGTTGTTACATCCTTTGTTGAACACAACGTTTCTCTCCTTTGTTAAACACAAGGCTTCTAGCGATAGTGTCCATTCTCTTTTCATACAATAAAGCATATTTTTTAAATATTTCAACTTTGGAGGTCACAACTTGCGTCTCGCTGCATTGTATTGCAGTGCAGGCGTGCTGGGCTACCACTAAGGGGCACTGCAGTCCTTTCGCGTTCAAAGCCTGACCTTTCCCTTCTTTCCTTTGTGGAAAAGGTGCAACCGCGGTGGACGTGCGTGGTGTCGACCAAGCGTGCAGCTCTCAGATTCTCTCTTTGGGCATTCGTTAACTCTCGTACGTACGTGTGTTTTTTTTTGTTTAAACCGGTTGTAACACTCCCGTTTTAGCACTTGAATCCTCTAATCAGTGGATTGTGCGTTTCACACTGTCTCTGCAAGATCACGCCGATATGGATCTGGCGAGTGTGGGGGTGTCTGGGTGGGCACGGAGCTCCAGGGCTTTTACTTCAAAGGTTCACAACTTGAGACCACCATCTTGAATCCCCCCCATAATCCTAAGCGGAAAAATATAAATGTTTTTTGATGTGGTTGTAGTTGACGGTCCTGTCACTCCTGTGTGCCTGGCTGATAATGTTACATTTGTATGTATGTTGAACTTCTTTTGCACCGTACGTAGCCAACCCGTGCTAAACAAACTAACACACAAAAAGCAGTTCTAAAGAAATGAGTTTTCAATCTGCTTATGCTCGTTGGGAAGCAGTCTTGGTCATTTCGAAGATATCCTTTTATTTGTATTTACACACCACTAAAAGTTGCGTAGAGAATATCCACGTTTTTGGTCTTTATCTCTATAGTTCTTATTCACTCGGACATAGTGTACATTTTGGAAACTGGGTAAATGTGAACACAAATGATTTGATGCCTGATAAAGGCAGGAAGGAAAATATAGAAAATTGTTGGAACAGCAGTTAATGTAAAAACCATGAAATGAATAATCATAATCTTGACTTAAAGCTTTTGTGACTGCAGGAATTCATATTCTTTGGGTCTTTCGGTGAAGCCACGTAAATTATTATTTTTCTATCTACTTAGCTTTACCGAAAGACTAAAAAAATATGAATTATAATATTTTATCACAAACACATTGTATAATCTATTAATTTGTTTTCAATCTTTTTTTTTTACTTAGAAATCACAACATTTAACAATTTGCACGGTGCTTATTTAGACACGCTTGGGAAATGTTGCATTTAAAAGCAGTTTTTAAGGTGTGTGTTATAGTATTTGAAAGTTTGCTGTGTGTACCGGCCAGCCTGCACAGTATCTCCTTGACGCGAGTATGTTGTTGACGATATGGCAACTGGTCGGCATCTCATCTGGTTAGCGTACTAAAGTAGACTGCTGTCAGTTTTTGCTCAGTGCTCTTGGAGGGGGCTCTAGCTCGCATATTCTTTTATAAATAAATGACTTGTGATGTGATCTCTGTGTGACTTTCATGCCGCATGTGCTCGCTATGGATCTGTGACCAAGGTTTGTAGCGCAGAGAGAAAAATGGCTTCATAATGATACTTTTGGCATGACCACTTTTTGCCTGCGTGATTAATCATTTAGAGGCAGGGACATAAGAAAGTTGTATTGATTCTTATCGAGACGAGGGTCCCATATGCTGCAGTAGTTAGGTCATGCTTTATTCATTTTATAAATGCATATTTTATTATTTTATGTAACTGCTGTTACTTGATATGTGTATGGGATTTTCAAAAAAACAAACATACCTTTTAGAGTTTTCAAATAACAAAATAGACGGAAATATATTTCGTCGTGACTATTACGTCTTTTATTTTTTAAGTTTTTTTTTATTCCTGGAATTTTCCGTACTCAGTTTTGCTCTACAATTCGTGGTCGTTCCCATCCCGAGTCATCTCCGTGTCCACTCCACGGTTACGTTTCACCCCAAAAGTAATTCCGAAAACTTATTTTTTGAAAACTTACACGTGAAATTGTGTTTATTACTTTTAAATATCACTCCGCGAAGTGTGAATAGACATTTAACGTGCGCGCGGGGCACGCTAATTGGCGTGCCTTTTCATGCAAAGACCGGGACATCAAACGGCGTGGTCTTTAAGCCCCCCAGAAATCGCTCCGTCGTCACTGGGCTCCAGAAAGCATCCCACTTGCCACGCAGACTCCTAATTAACGAGAACCCGGTGGGGGGGGGGGGGGGGGACGAAGGGCCCAGCGTTAACGGGAGGCGTGGCGCCTCCACTCTGCTGCCCTTCGTTGCGGTAATTGGGCACGGTCCTAGTCGGCGGCCACAATCTCCCCCCCCCCCCACTACTCCAACCCATCCACCCTCCCTCCCTCCCCGCTTAATCCGCTAATGGCAGGATCCGCTGACGCCCCACCAGGACTCTGGGACCATTACATAATTCCCCATCGGTAAACACGGCATTACAGGCAGCAGCGGCCGCCGCCACTGCCCCCCCCACCACCACCATCCTCGACGTGTCCGGGGGGTGTGAGAGCGAGACCGCAAAGCGGCGGGGATGCCGACGGGGGGCGGGGGGGGGGGGACCTCTGGGCGAAACCGCAGGAGCTCGCGGCTCCCAGACCTCGTCGTCGCTGGGTCGGACTTCACAGGGGCGGGAAGAATTTGATGTGTGTTGGGTTTTTTTTAGTTGCGGATGGTGCCCAGCAAAGCGGCGCGAGTTGCAGCGGAAAAGCGAACCAATTGCCGTCGCAGATGTCTTGATAGAAAAATATTATTCCTGCGTTTCGTTATAAGCTATTTCACACAATTGTCGGATTTGATTTAGAGACGCCGTTAGTAAGGAAGATAGTTGTTTACATGCTCTGGTTTCCATCGATATTTTCACAACCACAGTGGGGTTTTTATTCTCTCTCTTTGCGAAGTGTCTGTATGTGGTGTCCGACCTGCTTTCTTTTCCTACAAATGTGTATTGCCTGGTGAGCACGCTACTTCAACAGCAGGAGTAACCGGATATTTAATGCCCAGCTTATTATTTGTTCAAAACATTTATCAGATAGGGTTGTTTTTATTGGAATAAAAAATCGCCTTATCAAAATAAGAATCTGATTTTGATTTTAATAAAATGGTCTTCGTCATGCTAAGCTTAAGTTTAAGAAGTCTATTTAAGCTTATCTGTAATCTTTTGTCTGTAAAATAATGTAATTGTATAATTGACATTTGGTTCTCTGGGCCCTTGCATCTACTGATAAACATATATATAAACAAAAACGTACTAGACTTTGCAGCACCAATAACAGACGATGGCTCTCTTTATAGTTTCTTGAATGTCCTTGGGGTAGCTTTTGGTGTCCTAGATGTGGAGACGAAGCTATTGGGATTTCAGGTCTCCTGGTTAAAACTCAGTCTGCATGGATGTGTGGTGACAGTGTTGAGGTATTTTCTAGATTCACACACCTTGGTAGTGTTATCCAGAGCAACAGAGGTTCGGAATGGCAAGTCTCAAAATGACTGTTGGTGGCCTATGGAGTAATGGAATCGCTTCACCATAGTGTCTGGTGTTGCCATTAGAAGCACAGAGCTCTGTGTCTTCAAGGTTCATGCGCCTGTTGCCTTGCTCTGTAGAGCTGAGACTTGAACCCCTCTGGGGATCGTTGCGGGGCAAGACTGGACTCTTTAAGTACCAGTTCTCTTCGTCTATTCTTGGGGGTACTGACGGGATGACTTTGTGTTACAACCATTCGTTACTGCGGGAAAGCTAAGATGAGGCCAGGGGCGGAGCCACAGGGGGGGCTGGGGGGGGGGGGCTGGGGGGGGGGTCAGCCCCCCCTGAAATTTTGGGAAAGTCGGTAATCGGGATAGCCGGAGATCCGGCCGCTGCAAAATGCTGCAGGCTGCCACCTCGTGCTGCCCTGCAGGCTGCTTGAGCGGCAGCCTTTCGAACTTATTAGCCACATCAGCGGCTCCGACCTATTAATAAACTCCGCATTCAAACTCATAAAATGTGTTTTATACATTTGTGGCGCCCATTGGAAAACATTACACTGGATATCTCAGAATATTGAAGTCAGCCCCCCCCCCCCAAGTCAAAATCCTGGCTCCGCCCCTGGATGAGGCCTTGCAACCTGCACGATACGGGAAAGCCAACTTGTGGCACTTGGGGCAATGTGTCGCTCCTCACTTCCCCTTGGTTGACCCGGCAAATCAGCCACTGGCTCGTGGCTGCGTCATCACAGCGGACCGTGACTGTTGAGACTCGGAGATGGGAAGGTGTCTCGCTTGGGAGCTTCGCCAGGAGGGACCCTAGCAGTGCCGGATTATTCTAGTAGCACAAGTTGCTACATATGCTACGGGCCCCGCACTTTCAAGGGCCCCGCGCTAAATGCTTTTAAGCTATCGATTCCGGTTCAGTGATTCTGCACTTGCTCTATTACTATAGTTCTATACTGCCTTAAACTTTTATGAACGACTGGGTGTTTGAGGTTAGCAATTACTTTACTA